AGCACACGTTCCAGTACTGCTGCGTGTTTTTGCTTTGAGCTTACATGGAATAATCTAGCGCAAGCCCCCTTGTATATTAGGAAAGTTTCTTGTTTCTCTTTAACGGGAGCAAAATAGGTGTTGCTTTCTATGTGATGATGCACTGCACCCCCTGCACCCTTTTTACACACCCCTAGTCCTGCCCTTAGTGGCAAAGAGGCTGTACGGTGCAGACACATCCCACACTCTTTGCATTGGGGCTTTCCAGCTCTGAGAGCCACCCCGGGGTGGGGGGAAGTTGGCACCAGGGGACAAGTAAAGGGCCTGTCCATGCATCCCCAGGCTGCAGGGATCCCTGGGAAGCGGTCCCCTGGGCTCCGAGCTGGCAGGATGCTGGAGGGAGAAGTCTTTGGAGGCATCCCTGTCCCATGGGGGGAAGGGGATGCAGGGGCTTTGCACCCCCAGGACTCGGATTGCACAACCCTCCCCAGTGGGATGGCTATAAGAGCTGTACCCACACCTCCCCACTGCCCTCTGGCTCCTGCCCCCATCCAAGCCAGACAACCCCTGGCTGCTGCTGGCCAGGATTGCTGGTCCCCTAGCTGGACCCACAGGGAAAGGGCACCTACAGCCTCCTCTCTCCTGAGCTTTCCTCCCTGCCTGTGCCTCTGGTCCCAGTATTTCCAGTATGGCCACAAGCCGTGGCCAAACAGAGCCTTGCAGCTGCACATTTCCCTGCTGCTGAATACTTTCTGCTCCTGCCACCGGCCTCGACCGGTGCAACCAGACAGCACCTCTTCAACCCCGCCATGGGCTTGGCCCCAGGACAACTGAACCACCCTCGGTAAAAAGAGACTGGGAAAAATTGAGCCTCTTGATGGGGTGCTGGATGCCAGGTGCAGGGCAAGCATTTCAGCACTGGCCCATGCAAAGGGGCCCGATTCTCCCGCCGCTCCCTGCTTCTCCCCGGGCACTGCCTGTGCCTCGTGCTCCTGCCTCACCTGCCCCTGGGGCTTCTCCAAAGCTGTGGGGATGCAGGCACTTCCCCTGCAGACCCCAGCTGGGGTGAGAAGGGGCACGGAGCTGGGGGGAGAAGCGCGTGCCCTCCACACGCGGGGGACGGAGGAGCCGCGTCGAGGAGGGTCCAACTGAGCCACACTGGGGCGTGCTTCTAGCTTGAGGTTTTGCATTGCTGTTGCCAGCAGGTAGGAAGCATTGACTCATCACGGAGACGGGGGATCAGCCAGCTCAGACAAACCATCCTCTAAAAACGCTTGGTAAAAGTGAAGCCTGAGACAGCACAGACATCACCCCTGAACCTGCCGGCGGGGCAGCAGTCCTGCTTCTACACAAGGGTGTTAATAGACCATGCCCCGGCTGCAGAGAAGACAACCCCCACCCCCCCCCAGTCTGGACCAGTCTGAGCAGGGAGGAAAATCCCTTCCCTTATTCTTGCATCTTGCTTCCTCTGTCCATCCTGGCTTCTGACTGAGAAAGCCTTGGTCCAAGCACCAGCCTGGGTCCCCTGCACCTGGGCTGCCTTGACCCCTGTGCTCCAGCCCTCCCACTGCTGACTTGGGTCGTCGCCCCCAGCCTGGTCCTGTACAGCTCGAGATGCCTGGCTAGTGTCTCTGGGCTCCTGGGACAACAGCAGGTGGGACCCCCTCCTTCCAGCCCCCCTCAATGCATCCCCAGCCCAGTCAAGGGGAGCTGGAAGAGCCTGGCACTTCTTCAGCTTGACCCCAGCACCTCCAAGATTTGGCCCTCCAGGAGGAAGATGGGGCCAGCAGTGGAAAGGAAGGTTTTTCCAGAGCTGTGGGAAGGGCACTTTGCTGCAGGTCTCCTGCTGCAGCTGTGGCCTACCTCCCCGATCCCCACGTCTAGGTGTTTGCTTGACCTCTGCATGCTTGGAGGCCCCTTTTGCAGATGCTTTTCCCCAAAATCAAGGTATTCCCAGGTTGTTTTCCCCATGCTGCATCGGTTTGCTGGCACCTGAGGGATTTCTTCAGCCTCTCCAGGTCCCCAGCTGGCCATTAGCCCCTGGGATGTCTCCCTGGCCCACTTTCCACGGGTCCGGGCCCCTCGTAGGCTGCCTGGGACGCGGGCATGGTGTGCTCTGTATCATGCATTGCCAGCGACATGGCCTGCTCCTGACAGCCCTGGGGAAGAAACCGATTCATAGACACAGAAGGGGGGAAATGAAGTGGCATTGGGGTGTTTTAGCTGCTCTTTCAAACTTCAGACCCCAAGGTGGAGGATCCATCTGCCTTCCCTACAATTCAACCCTCTGTGACCTTAGCTGGTCTTAGCTGTGTCGGAAGTACCCCCTTTCCAGCTCACTTCCCCCCAGCCAAGGCTCTGGAGCCGGAGAGCAAATAGCTCCCAGGCTGCAGAGGTGAGAGAGGAACGAGGAACCGCGGTGCTCACGAGACCAAGGGTCAGGGAAGGAGGCATGTAAGAAAACTTCCCAGGACAGGCTGCATTGTGCCGAGGCAGCACCAAGGCAAGCCAGGGCACTGGAGGAACCGTCCTTGCCGTGCCAAGCAGCCGCTTGCAGGGCCCGTGGGCATCCACGTGGACCAGGTCCCAGAGGATGTCAGCTGGGGGCCACAACCTTTGCGGCCCTTAGTAGCATAACCCTTCTGCTGAACACCGGTCAGCAGCAACGAGGGCCGGGTTCAATTTTGGGGGTACTAAATATATTTTAACATGGCTCGAGCCCCCCACCGAGTCTACCTGGGAAACACTAAATGAATGACGAGGGTGTCCAATTAAACCAGCCACCCTTTTCTCGCAAGCAGTGTAAACACAAAATCCAAATTTATTACAAAGTATTAAAAAAACCCAAAAGTACTCGCTAACTATAACTTTAAAACACTGCAAACTACCAGACAAAATCTATAAGTGGCACCCTCTGGGGGGAAGGGGCTTTACCTGTAACCATGCAGTCTGGGACTTGGGGACCCCAAAAGGGTAGTCCCGGGGGAGTGCACCACTATTTCTGCCCTTCAGCAATGGGTTGGAGTAGGGGGCCCTCACTGGAGAGTCCAACAAGCTGCTCCATGGGTGCATTGCAAAGGGCCCCTCCTTGCTCCCTGCAAAACTGTAGTGTTGATCCTCACTTCTGCATGGTGGATTTGAGGGGTGAACTGTGGTTTTCATCAGCGTATCACACCCTGAAGTTTTTAGTCTTCATCCCAGCTCTGCTGGGGCAGGAACCTGCAAGACCGTAGCTGGGGTTTCAGCGACACAGCTATGCTGGACCCAAAAGAAGTAGCAACAGCAACTAAAACATGCCCGGCTCTCAGCCCTGGCCCAGAGCACACCAGCAAAACTGCCAGGCTCCAACCTTGCCCAGTTTGCTGCAGGGATTGATGCCCCTCGCGTGGCATCATCCCACTCAAAACCCAGAAACCGAAAGGGGAAAGGAGAGGGAGAGAGCAGAGGTTTCAAGCCTTGAGACAAGAGTTTCTCTCCCTGTACCTGAGGCTTTCCCTTCACATGGATTCAGTTTGCTTCATCAGTGAAGGATGGGGTGACCCCTCCTCCCCATGGGAAACAGGATTTTCTGGCTCCCAAATCAGCAGGGGTTTGTGGGGGGCCTTTTGAAAAAATCTATTTCTCTCTCTATATGGTTATATATATACAGCATCTAGCATAAGCTTTTCTCCACACATCTGACATCACATTTAAAGCCTGCACACCCACTACAATTAATGCACCCGCACTCCCGCGCACCCGTCCGCTGTCCTTTCCCTAACCCATTCGCAGTCTCTTAGTCCAAGCCCCAGTTTGGGGGTTTACATTCAATACAGTGTTCAGACTTCAGCAGCAGCAGGAGAAAGAAAAGGACCCAGCCCAGGTGACCCTTAAATAATTGTTCTGAACTCATCACTTGGTCCCAACCAGAAACAGGCCTTATAATGCAGACCAGTCATTTCAAAGGTGGTCAGCAACCCCTGGACAGGTTCCTTGGAGGGAAGCGTAAGACAAAGGGGCTGGACACGGTAAGGGAGGATGGGAGGTGGGTCTCTCCTGTCCTAGAGCAAGCAAAATATACAGCACAAACACAGCAACAGAAAACCAGAGCACACCTGACCACACACAACCTCAAGTGTGTGGGGGTGTTACAATAGGACGATCTGCCCGACTCCATCGCGGCATCGGGGAGGGTGCAGGGGTGCTGCCTGCTCAATGCGGCAGGACGTGCTTCTCATACACAGAATTAGAGACATCCTAGAGACGTGGGGCTGCAAGGTCACATCGAGTCCGACCCATGCTCGAACAAGGATCAGCCCTGTCAAATCAGCCTGGACAAACCCATTTCCAACTTCTTAGCACAACTACCGTCACCCCGACACAGCCCCAGGCATCACCCCTGCCCCTATATGCCCAAAAGACCCCAGACAAAGGCCGTGCCCCTGCTGCAGAGGAAGGCAAACCCCCCCCAGTCTAGACCAGACTGAGCAGAGGGGAAATCCCCTCCTGCCCCAGTGCAACATGAGGCTGAGCCTGAGTGCAAGGGCGAGACCCTCCAGCCAGGACCCTGCGGGGTTGGTGCCAGCAGCCCTATCCCTATCCCCAACCTGGGATGCAGCTCCCATTATAATGAAGCCAGGCACTTCAAACAGTTGGGGGATGGGGGGGTCCTCCCTGTCACCAGCAAGGACAAGGTCACAGGCATGGGGAAGCCAACCGTAGAGCCACGCAGGCAGCCTCATTCCTTCCAGGCTTACTTCCCCATTCAGGGGGCAAGGAGGATGGGGTCTGTCAAGCTGAGCATCTCCTTTCCCAGGTCCCCGCACCTGCCAGAGGCACTGGGCCCCCCCTGCCTTGACTCTAGTTGCACCCCCACGCTGCCGGTGAAGCTGCCCCATCCTGTCCCTGCTGCATGCCCCTCCCTGCATGGGGCTGCAGCGGGTTCTGGTGAGCAGGGAGGGAGGTTTCAGTTCCCCCTGGGCCAGGGAGGACGGGGAGGGAGAAATTGGGTGTTTTCAAGCTCCAACAGTGAAGATCTCCAGGGCAGGCAGGATGGACTGGATGGGAGACAGTCAGCTTGAAGGTAAGGGGCTTCTTGGCAGCAAATGGCTCTCCGGGTGCTTGGAAAGGGGGTGCCAGGAGTCCTAGGTTGCAGCCGTATTGGTCCAGAGGCAAAAGGGATCAAAACTGGTGGAAGAGGTGATCTCTTTTATTAGAATTTGCAAACAATGATTGCATTTACCTGCAAGATTTCAGGCGCACGCCCTTCATCAGGCAGCGGAGAGAGCACAGATTGTAAAAGTTCTCCTAGGTAGAAAGGAAAGTTTGTATTTTCATTTAAAAGGGGGTGAGCATTTGTGCCAGCACCCTGGCTGTAGTGAGCATCAGCTGACCAACAGCTGAGCCCAGCAAAAAGGCTCCTGACCTCTTTACCCCCATGCTGTGAATCAAGATGAGTTGGCGCTTGGAAATTCCCCGTTTCCTATGAGCTTGCCAGCCACGGTCCTGGGGTGGCCAGAGGCAAAGCAGCCGGGGTGAGGGATGCTGGCTGAGCCCAGCCCGGCTGCATTGCAGAAGGGGCCCTCACCGCGGTGCCTGGGCTGCGCTCCTTCGTGAGGCTCCAGCTGCCTGCTTCGGGTGACGTGTGAGCCCCGATGGCCCTGCAGATGGGCTGGACCGGGGGCCAAGGAGGTAAGAACGGATGGGACGAACCTCACGTCCTTGCAAACTGCTTCTCTGCATGACTAGCTGTATAAGAGGTACAGGATCTGCCTGCCTCTCTCTCTCTGGGGTATGATTTCTTCACTTCTAAGCACTTATCTGTCCTTAGAGAACTGAGGTTTTCCTGGCGGGAGGGTCTTGCCCCTCCATGCACTTGGGGTCAGGAAGGAATTTGACCCCAGGATCAAATGGGTACAGACCGCAGGGGGGGTTCTGGGATCTCTCAAGTGCATTCCCCCCAGCAGGGAGGGTAGGATGCTGATGGGGCTGGAGACCTCGGGAGGCGGCAGCTCCTGGATCTCAGGCCCAGGCTGTCTGCAAGGCAGGACCATGCTGCAGATGAGTGGGGCATGGGCAGAGAGGACAGGGCAGGGCATGGCTGGCTGTGCTATGGATGCATGGAGGACGACAGCTGGGAGAGCTGGGAGCAAATAAAAGCTGAAACCCTAAGATCGTCATCCCAGTGCAGCTCCGGGAGCTGGCAGCAGCAGTAGGCTGTTATCCTCTTGTGGAAACCAGCCCCGCACACCCCCCCACCCTCATACATCCTCACCTGCCAGGTCTCCTGGTAGCTTTGCAGACTCCAGTGTCACGGCAGTGCTGGGCCAGCCTGGATGGGTAAAAGAGACCTGGCCGTACTCTCAGCCTCTGCATCCTCCTGCAGCAGGTTGCTCCATGGGTTAACGCTGCGTCCGTAAGTCCTTCCCCTGGTTTGTTTCAACCTGTTTTAGCAGGAGGGTCAGGGCAGTGGTTCTCCTGCTCCATCCAGCCCTGGCGTCCAGTGTCCAGGTCTGGGCCCTGCACTTCAGGAAGGACATGGACAGGTTGGAAAGAGCCCAGCACAGAGAAATAAAAATGCTCGGGGGCCTGGGAGGCAAGACTGATGAGGAGAGGGTGGAAGAGCTAGGGGTATTTAGTCTGGAGAAGAAAAGACTGAGGGCAGGGGTTGATCCTAGGCTACAGATCCTGCAGGGCGATGGCAGAGAGGCTGGAGATGGGCTCTTCTCTGTGGCCACAGGGAACAGGACTAGGAGCAATGGCCTCAAGCTGCAGCAGGGAAAACTGAGGCTGAAGATGAGGAGTAAGGTCTCTGAGGGTGGCCGAGCACTGGATCAGGCCCTTGGAGACGCGGTGGAGTCTCCACCCTGGAAGTTTCCAAGAGCAGGTTGCACAGCCCCGTGGCTGGGGTGCTTGAGTCAGGGCTGATCCTGCCTGGAGCAGGGGGCTGGGCTGGATGCAGCCTCATGAGCTGCCTTCCAGCCCGACTTACCTACGAGCCCAGCCCCTGCGAAGACTGGAGGCAGCAGCCATCGCCCACTGTTGGTGCTGGTAGACGGTCACCTTCAAAGCACCAAGCTACCTTTGTGGGGTGCAGGGACGTGTCCTGAGCTGCTCCAGCGGCCGCATTCGGGGCTCCTTCACCCGCCCCGACCATGCTGACGTGCCCTTGCATTTCCCTTCCCCGCAGCCATTCTGGAGTCCGACGGGGAGTCCTCCGAGGACGGAGACGCGGCGATGGTAGGAGATCCTGCGTGAGGCCGCATCCTGCACCGTTGTGTCCCCCCAGCTTCCCCCAGTTCAGGTGTCCCCAAGTCTTTACTTCCTGTCCCAAGCAGAAACCCATTATCCTTCGCTTCCTGTCCCAAACGTGCCTTTTAGCTTTCACTTCTTGTCCCAAACAAGCTCCGCTCCAGATCCCCTTCTGGATCCCTTGTTATGAACCTATGATGCTCGCAGGGGCCTCCCTTTATAGGGGGGGCTTGTCGTTTTCCT